CGAAGTCGGTTAAATGGGGAAAAAGTTACGCATTCGGAGGCTCATACCAACAGCCTTCGAAAATTTTCAAAAAATTTTTTAGTTTTTCAGTTATATCGATATATATTTTTTTTCTCCGTTATTATTAGAGATACAGAAAAACTGAAAATACTTTTTCATAGCAACTTTTGATGACGTTTAACGTGGTGATACCGATTTTTCTATGCGACGTTTCGTATTCGTAGAACCATCATCAACTTTTGTTTTTTAAATACGGCCCTGATAATTCTTTCACAGATTCTGAAAGCTTTTTTTATTCTGAATTCAACCATGTATTATACAAGGTGGTTTGAATGTGTTTCGAACTATTTTTAGCCATCATCAATGTTTTTTTCGAAATTCCTAAGGAAAAATGCCATCAGTTTCAATTATTTTGAAGGAAAATTAGCCAACAAACTAATACCTCATCAACTAGTTCCGATTGATAGACTTATAGGAATAATTAGTTCGGATTAAAATATGAATACAATTCATAAACAATTCGAAGCGCTGCATTGAATAATTTAGTGGATTTTTTTTTCACTTTTCAGTATTGAATAACTAGTCCATCAATGTTTGACACTGAATAATCAGAAATAAGTGAAACTGATGGCATTTTTCCTTTGGAATTTCGAAAAAAAACATTGATGATGGCTAAAAATAGTTCGAAACACATTGTATAATACATGGTTGAATTCAGAATAAAAAAAGCTTTCAGAATCTGTGAAAAAATTATCAGGACCGTATTTGAAAAACAAAAGTTGGTGATGGTTCTACGAATACGAAACGTCGCATAAAAAAATCGGTATCACTACGTTAAACGTCATCAAAAGTTGCTATGAAAAAGTATTTTCAGTTTTTCTGTATCTATAATTATAACGGAGAAAAAAATGAAATAGATATTCCAAAATTTAACTTTTTTCGATATAACTGGAAAACTTAAAACAATTTTGAAAATTTTCGACTTCGTATCTCCTACCGTTTCCGAGATCCCCATGCTGTGCCACCTTATCTTGGACAGACTGTATACGGTATGGTGGAAATGTATGGAATAAATTCTTTATCTCTAACGCATATGAATTTGAAAAAAAATCCTGAGACAGTTCGATTTTCATTTTCAAATTGACACCTCTTGTCAATACGGAGTTCTTAACGTCATCCACGTAGTTGTGGTGACGTCATCGAATTTTTTTCAATAGAAACATCCTTTTTTTATTTTTATTTTTTCGGGAAGTATGTTCATTGTCTATCCAACCATTTACTGATATTAGCGGAATGAAGTAATACAGGGTGAGAAAAAATTATTGATTATTTTATATTTACAACGGAAACCGTTACAATAAATGTTCGAATTGGTTACCCTCTGCAATCATACAATGTTATAAACGATTTACATTGTTTCTGATGTATACAGGTCGAATTTTTCATGTATTGTAATTGTTTCCGTTGTAATTATAAAATAATTAATAATTTTGTCTCACCATGTATTACTTCATTTTGCTAATATCAGTATATGGTTGGATAGACAATGAATATACCTTGGGAAAAAAAAAGGGGATGTTGCCATTTCAGAAAATAATCGATGACTTCACCACAACTACGCGGATCACGTTACAAACTCCGTATGTATATCAATAAGAGGTGTCAATTTATAAATAAAAATCGACCTGTCTCATCAGGATTTCTTTTCGAATTCATATGCGTTAGAGATAATGAATTTATTCCAAACATTTCCACTATACTGTATACCTATCAAATACCCAGGTGAGCACAGTGACCTAAGAAGAAGTCATAGTCTAGTCGTTTTTCCATCCAACATTCTTCCGTATTACTGAATAAAAAAAGCAGTAAGTGTCTCAACTATTCTACCACATTTGGGATTGTTTATTTGCCAACTTTCGGTACGTTGCAATCAAGCTACTTTTATCCCGCTTACATCTGGCCGACGCTCGCTACATATAATTTTAGGTAAAAATTCGAATAGCTTATATTATACACACATAGAGATGCGAACTAATGATAACGCCAGAATCGAACAGGATTAAACCCGGAAGGGCTAACTCATCATTGAATCTCATCAATAATGGTTGGTGGTGTATAATTATGTTTCTATAATACCGTATATTCGCCTATATATACCCTAATTTTTTTTTCATTTCTAAGATGTCATTTTGACGTCTGACTATGACGTCTAATGGTTGTGACATTTTGACGTCTTTTCCAGGTATTCAAGACGTAATTTTTTGACGTCAATTGGTCCAAACTTCAGAGATATAACAAGACAATCAAGTGAGAAAAAAGGGGGTATACCATGAGTCTGTGTCACCCGGTATATCCTAATTTTATATATCATTTCATGGTCTCAATCTCCAAATCCTCATCATATATTAGTATTTAAAGTATCAGTTTCGTAATATTCAATATCTACGATTGAAAGACTTGAAAACATGTATAATCAGAAAATCTAAGGAACAGAGGGAGATATGATATTCAATATTTTATACGTACCAAATCAAAAATGTATTCTTTCAAATCGGGACAACCTATTTTTTATATTCATATCAGTATATATGCATTGTGATATTTGAGAGAACACAAATAAGAATCAATGATTCCTAAAAAATACCAAAAACAAAGTGCTCCATTTGAAAAACTGAATTTTTGGCATGTCACACAATTATTAATCACCCATCAGTGAAACTTCTAATAAGGGGCTTATTGAAAATATCTCATCTCGACATTCAACTTACTCAGCATATATGTTTTTTTCTAGATGAAATATAACGTAAATATTAGTCTCTTATAGTCGATGGAAAACCCTGTACATGGTATTAACAAGGAAAGTAGTTGTAAAAAAAAATGGTTGCTACATTCTTCTAGGTCGCTGTTACATAGATTTGTAGAAGACATACAAAAATAATTGAGTAATACCTATTAAACATGAGTTTTTATTACTATTGCATATATAATAATTTTATATAATTATATTATAATTTTGATCAAAAACAAGAAAAAAGTATTGAGTATACGGAGTTTTCACCCACGAACTAGTCGAAAGAAAGATTTTCTTCTTATTTTCAATTCAATTCTTTTGGAAATGATGTTGATAACTTGTTATTATTTTGAATTTGGAAATAAATTATTATTATCATTATTATTATTACTATGTACAAATATTAGGGCTGCGCGATATTAGATTTCACATATTATTATCGACTAACGATAAGTCACAAAATATCGATAAGTTCGAAATATAGAGTTATCGATAGTTATCGATATGTCGATAGTAAATCAATATTTTATCGATATTTTTCAAAGTATAGATCGATATATCGATATTTTCCCACGCCTCACTCAAAATAATCTCATTTCTTCTCCAAACCAAGGTGAGACTGAGAAAACCCGACAAAAAAAATAAAAATTGATTTCAAAAATATTACAACAAGCGTCTAGAGGTCACAAAAATGAAATAAACTTATTTTTTTCAATATATTGAGACCAAATCGATAGTTATCGATGATTTTCGATAGTTATTAACATATCGATAGTTATCAATTTATCAATAGTTATCGATATATCGATAGTTATCGATGTATCGATATTTTTGAAATTATATATCGTCATAAGCGATATTTTTTCCCATGCCTGATGTAGGTTTGTCCCGCGCGTCGATAGGTGATCTGTGCCCGCGCTTGGCGCAGTTCCTTCACCGCGATGATTATTTTTCCTCCTTCCTCTAGACGCTAGTATAACCAATCAAAATCAATCAATCGATCAATCGTCGTTTACGTATCGTCCGAAAAATATTAGATATTTATTATGACAAATGGGCGTCTGCCGGTTCTGTGCTGCCGTCTTATGAATTCTTCTCAAGATGGAAGTTGTAGATTATTTGATTCTCTATCATTTGATGCAAAATGCGTTGGAATATTCATTTTTTTCATTTGACATATTTTGACATGTTTTTGACGGCGTCTGCATCGATAACGACTTTGTCTGCTCAAAATCTGCAATCACAGTAATATTCACAACCAGAATCATAACAAATGTATCGAATTTCAACATGGAATAACATTATTCAGATATCCCACGAAAAAAATATGGAAACCACTCTTCACATGGCAATGAGCGTCTGCCGGCTTTGGGCCGCCGTCTGCTGATTTTTCCCTTCGAGAGAAGTTTTTGATATTCTTGTTTTCCTATCATTTGATGCAAATTGCAAGTTGGAACATTTATTTTTGTCATTTGACAATTTTGACCGCGTCTGCGTCGAGAACGCCTTCGTCTCCTCAAAATCTAAAATCAGTGGAATTCACAACCAGAAACATAACAAATTTACCAAATTTCAGCCTAAACTAACATCATTCCGAAATCGTCCGAAAAAAAAAATTGAAATCACTACACATGACAAATGGGCGTCTACGGCTCTGGGCCGCCGTCTGCTGATTTCCCTTCGAGAAAAGTTGTAGATATTTCCATATTCTATCATTTGATGCAGATTGCAAGATGGAATATTCAGTTTTGCCATTTGACATTTTCGACATATTTTTGACGGCCTGTGCTTCGATAACGCCCCCGTTCTGGAAAAACTACTTTAATTTATTGACAAGAAATGACCTTTCAACACCCCCTTCTGAAATAATGCCCCCACTTGAAGGTGACAGATGGGTGTTGTTATACTCACTATTGTGGGGTAATTCAATCAAAGGGATCAAACCTTTGGAATATCGACTTCAACCATTTCTCACGCGAGCTCTTAGTCTATGAGAATGATCGATTGTAACAGCATACGAATTTTCAAGTTGTTAATGAAAGTACAAGTTGGAAAACTTCTAATGTGTGACCTTAGTGAATCACCCTGTGTAATATGGTTGAATAAAATGATCTATTGATTTTATTCTGATTCATTAGGAAAGATATCTTGAATAAAGGAAAAAAGTGACTACTGACTATCAGAGAGTGAAAAAACACAGTTCACTATAATAAAAAATATATATATTTATATCAGATACTTATAAAAAATATATACATCACAGAGGCATGAAAAAATATAAATTGAATATGTCATTATCTCATACATTTCCTTCATCACACTCAAGGCATCTGAGAATTCGCCACTTTTGTTATGGTCGTGAGAATTTCTTTAGTTGCCAAATATTGTTTGGTAATTTCTGAAAGTTTTCCCTCTTTCTGACTAAGTATTTTTTGTAGATCTTGATTTTGCTGCAACAAAATGGAGGTTATGAAAATAACGAATTATTGTTCAATCCTGATAAACTATAGATTAAAATTCAGTGTGTGCAAGTGTGTGCTACTTTTATGGAAATCCGAAGATTTTGGATCTCGTCCAAAGGAAGGTATAACATGGGGGGTTCAAAGCTGAAATGAACCAAGCCCATGTTTGGTAAATTTGAGATATAAAAATTTCAAGTTATTGCTTTTCAGAGATTAATTAATTAATATATCATTCATTTTGATTTTTTGATAGAGGGGCTCTTAGACCAATCGTAACTTGATGTTAATGCCATCATTGAATCAAAAAATGGAATAGGATCAGCTTTATAAATATTTTTTTCTGCAACCGACACAAAAGTCGTCCATTTTGATACCAAAATTAGCTCTTAAATTGACGTTTCTATTACTGACACAAAAAAAGGTATGTTGCTAGGCAACATATTTAGTTCCTAGGAGCTAAAGTTGAATTTATGTTCCTAGGAGCTAAAGCTGAACTTTAGCTCCTAGGAACTAAAAAGGATGTACTGGGCTTCATCAAGAATAAACAACATTGTGACGGTTGGTTATTTGGGTTGAGACGCATACCTGATTTGTTTCCGATCTCAGCAGATTTGGCATTTCATACCCATGCTGGAGATATAAATACACCTTAGTATTGGAATTATAAACATCTCAGTTGAGTATTTTTGTTTTGATCAGGGAAGCCATCAATATTCAAATACTTGCTGCTTGATATCTATTTCATTCGTTATTCTCGGGATGGATAACTTGTTTTTGAATAATCACGGCAAGCAATAGTTTTTTTGTCTCAAACAACGATATTGTTTAGCTCCATTTGATTATCAAGTCAAACACAGTGTAGTATGAGGAATAAATAATCACTATTATCATTGTTGATATGCTCACTAACCCAACATTTTCCACGTCTTGTTCCTATAGCTGGAACTGGTGCGGTATTTGCCATTAGAGCGCCTGGTCCATACACAAATATGTCACTATGTGGTTGTATTTATATTGACACTACAATTCGAACATCCTTGAACATTGAAAAAACCTGCTGTTAATGCAGGTAGAATATTCTCACCACACGGATTTTGTCAATATTTGTTGCATTGCATACATATGGCACGGCATTGGTGGTTATACTTCACATGTTTATTTGAGTTAATTGTTTCGGTTGCAGAAAAAATAGCATGTTTCATTCGGATCGGAAAAGTGACTTTGTTCGACTCGCAAATTTTGCATTCGCTCGGCTTTGCTTAACGCTCCGCCTCGCAAATGCAAAATTCGCTTGTCAAACAAAGTGTCACTTTTGATCCTGATGAAACAATCTACTATTTTCTGTGACGGGAAAAAAGTTTGAAATTTAATCTCTGTTGACTAGTTATAAAATGTTACTTGTCATAAATTACTTTTTTCCCAACGGAAAATAGTGAGTGAAAGAACTGCAAGTCCGTTTATCCTCCATTCGACTTAGCGGTAACTTAAATTACTAAACAACCACTGAATTCGCAATCTTAGAAAATTAAATCACAAAATTAGACTGACAGATATTTGATTACTTACTAAGAATGCTAAAGATGCCTGCAACGCAGGTGTCATTTCTATTATAAACTTCAAATTTCACGTCGATAATATTCTGATTTAAATATACTGTCATATCTTCTCGATATTTTTCCTTGTATAATAAATAGGTAACTATTATTTTTTCATGTTGGACTTATTTCACTTTTGCAGTGCTATGAACATGGCAGCGGAAAAATCAACCTTCAACTTCATTTTTGAATGGTAATGATTCAGTAAATTCCCTTTCGCACTTCGGGGACTAAAGTATGTACCTTACTACCAGATAATAAAATGATTCCTAATGACTAAATTGAACCATTCATTCCTAATCAAACGGACAAAATAACCAACTGGTATTCGTCAAATCCAATTCTATCATTGATGGGTTACCTGATTTTAGTAACAATTTTCCGGAATGTGTGAAAATATCGCTTTTTATACCGTGGGACTGAAGTAACTCATATTCTTCTAAACAGGCACTGAAGTGATCCATTTGAACACAATTAGGTCTGTGGTGATTCTCTCGATTTCTATAAAACTAAAAATTAACTAACAGGTACTTCTGAAATTGAATAATTCTAACATGGATAAGTTGAGTAATTGGTTGATAGTCTTCCAGAAAGTGCATATAGCCTTCGGAAAATAAACTACTCGCGTGGTTGAATGATTCACTTGAGTTCCGTGCTATATAATGTACTATAATGGTTAGATGCTTCATCTCATGTATCATGAATCAATTCGTCATCAGCAATTTCAGATTTACCACAATGTATCTTGGACTTGGTACATCTGCTTCATTTACAGCAACACTTCAGATGACTTGGTTCATCACAGCACCAAAAAATATGAGCTTTCAACAATAGTATAGATGATCTCTTTCAAAACATCGCTATTATGAACTAGGTCCACTTCAGCTTTGAGCCCCTCCTATTTTGTTCAGAAAGGTAGAACATTTAAGCAACGCATTTATGAACTGCAAATACGCTAACCATCTAGATGAGCAAATAATCATAGTTTTGATGGCAATTTCAAAAGTTTACAAGTAGAGATTCAAGGAATAGAATAGAATGGGAAACTACTTCTGATGAGCAACATCTTGAACGAAAGGAAAGAAACACTCCAGAAATAAAATTCCATTCCTCACCAAAGTAAAATTTAGTTTTTGAGTATATCTTTTCTTCTGTTCTCGATGTTGCTCGTTCCAGTAAAGCTGTAACGAAGAATATACGCATACAAATGCCGGCTTGTTTTAATTTTTTTTTTCAGGTGTTCACTTCAGACAGAGAGTTCTTCTGATTGCTGTCTAGGGACTGCCCTACACTGATGAGGGCCAACAGCCGAACACCGGCCTATAGATGGTTAAGTGTTACCCACCGACAATTCAAACACAATCTGCCATTTAGGGAAAATGTCATTCAATTATAGCATTTATCAGTGTTGTAGTTGTTATTATGTTATTATATTCCAGTTTTGTTCAATTATTCGAACATTTTCTCGAACTAATTTTATTTTAATCTTGAGGAATTTGACTACTTCTCAGTTGAAACTAACAAAACTCAATCGTTTGGAATCGTTAGTAGCCAATAGCAAAAGCAAAGATGTTTACTTGATGATCAACTAGACCTCAACAATTCACCACTGAGGAATATGTTATCTCAGTAGGTAATGATATTCAATCATCCTTCTTGAGTTTATTCTATACACCGAATTCAAAGTAACTATTGTGCATACTTTTCAAAATGAAGAATTAGCTGGATTTGCTGTCACCCTCAGGTGATTTTATACTTTAAGGATGGTAAATTATGTATAGGTGAGATGTGTAAATGTTAGGTTTTATAAATACAACCAGAACTCCATAAAATTATTCTTCCTACTCTTGTGTTTGCTTTTTTGCTGAATTTCTGTTCGAGAGTATTCCAGTCTCCAAATCTCCACTAAATATAATTTTATCTTCACAATACCTAATTTTGGTTTGAATTCCGCGCTTAACACTCGCACGCTTGTCAACGAAGAAGGTCGGTACAATTCGAAGAGAGTACCACGAAACGCTGCACGAAGAAAGTTGTAGTCTTGCGCAAGATATTGGAGATTCAAAAAACTCGATAGTTTTTGTCATGGTGGATGATTCGAGTCACTTTTATTTTGTGCAATCGATAAAATACCAAAAACTGTCTGAAAACTGTGAAAATCCTATGATAACCACTGGCAAATTTTCTTAAGCGACCGTCATCTACATCAGTGGGCCCACAGAGAAAAAAATCAAGAATATCATGGACCATCAAGCTGAGATTGTGTAAGTTTTGGATCTTTCATTGGGTACATAATTAACCTAACCAAATATTCCGCTGAAAACTTATTTAAAAGGTAAATTTGCCACAACAGTGTTTCAATTCAAACGTTTCAGATAGGGATGAGGAGATTCAATCAATATCAATGGTACACTTACAAATTATTAACCTTTGGGCAGTTGGTATGGACCTACTATTTCAATAAAAGAATGCAAAATTTGAATTAAAACATGACACCTAGGATATTTGCAGTACTCTGATAAGATGACAATCTTTACTTACCAAATTCAGAGTATCTATGTGCCTATTTGCATTTGTGAGTTGTTCTTCTTTTTTCTGCAACTGCCTATTCACTCGGTTGCTATATTCTTCTAATTTTTGAATAACCTGCTCACGCTTCTCAACTTCCTGTTCAAGATTATTCTTCATTTCAGTCATTTCTAGCAGTTTTAGTTTTGTTTCTTTCAATTCATTCTCGTTGTCAGCAAGAGCTTTTTTCATTTTACCTAAAATGACAAAATTTCTATGTATTCATATACCTGTAGCCATTTCCTCAATTATAAATAATGAATGACGAATAGATATAGGGATCTCTAGTGAACCTTCCTGATTTTAGGATACTCAAAATGAGGAACAATACAATTGGATTGAAAAGAAATATTCTCAGATAAATTATGAACATGAAAAAAATGGATATAGTAATTTATCTGAGAATATTCCTTTTCAATACTTTCACCCAATCAAGGGATGGAAACTTGTTATTTTTATAGACTTTCAATCTGAGATTCCTGATAAGATTTTTTTCAATTCAGAATCTCGTTCCACGTCCTATATGAATATAAATTTTTTATACATCCAAAAAGAAAAAAAATAGTCAAAATTTGGAACTTCTTAGATCGAATCTGCAGCATCATTACAATGAGGAGAAATTGCAATTGTTTTTTGTAAATATTGTATTCAATTGATAAGGCCCTACTTGACATTCCTGAATCCACGTTTCCTAATGTAATAATGTAATTCTTTAAATTTCTCTTGAAAAATCTTTCAATCTGATCGTGAATGTATAGTGGTAATAAATTGTTTTTGATTATACGTTACTGTGCTTATGTACCAACGCATGTAATTAGTCTAGACTGAAAGTGTTATGCATTGCATTCTTGTGTGATTTTTTAGGCAGCATCAAATATTCTATTCTATTATATAACATTAAATCTCCTTCACTGGATTTGAGAATATACAGGGTAGAAATAAAAAACATATAATGTGGGAAATAAGGACATGTACTCACCGACGTCAGATTTCGCCTGCTGTTTTTCACTTAAATAAATTTTCCCCATCTCTTCAATTGTTTGATTTGACTTCTCTATCCTATTTTCATATTGGTGTATCAACTGACTGAGTTTGTTGTGTTCTGCTGTTAATTGTGCCAAACGATGTTGCAAGTGTACACAACGTTCAGAAGCTGCTTCTAAACTTTTAGTTGCTGAAAGTTCCGAGTGGGATAAAGAAGCTATTTTGTACTGATAGAGTTCCATTACTTGACTAGTCGATACGTTAGAGATGTTTTCTTCGTTTACAAGTCGCTAGAATTCGAGGAACAATTATCAATCAATAAGGCATAAGGCCTTCCATATAAAGCAGAATAACATAGAGTGCTGGAAACAGTGCTGGAAATCTTGTATTGTGAGAAACAAAACTTATTCAAATTGATAGACTATTTACAAATTCTAATATTGAAATTTTGAAATAACTATATGTCGTCGTCTATGATCATTCACTGAACATGAATATTCCTCAAAATTATTCCTACTATTATCATCATCATAATTGTCAAAGATACGACAATTCTATTGGCCCACAATACGTCATTTTCGTATATTTTACAAGCAGTAGTCTGAAATGGTCAGTGCAGAGTAATTGAATTTTTTCATCTTCAAGTTTGTCTTGAGTTTTTGACTTGATTATGTAGAACGTTACAAAACTGCGTTTTTTGTTTAATTGTTCGAGAAAACAGAGAGAACGAATGAATGCGATATTATAAGGCCATGAATTTGATGACCAAGGAGTTGTTGTACTTGTCCTTTGTGATATATTGTTTGTGACTTTCTCACTTACCAGTATCATTAAAGACAAACACTCTAGTGTTTGGTAAAATCAAACAGTGTAGTGTAAAATCAAAAACATATGAAAAAATAATCAATCAATAAAAGCTATACATCAAGTAGTAAATCCAATTGCCGACAACGGATATATCAGGATAAATACAGTAATTAGAGAAACTAATCAAATATCCATATGGGTTTGCATAGAACTATGGCGTTAAACGGTTGGAAAAACGCAACAATAATGGGTCGAGCTTTTAAAGCGTTGCCTAATCTTGACTTTGATTTATCATTCAAATAATACTTTTTTAGGACAAAGAGAAAGCAAATTAAATGATGCATTTAATCAAATCCTATAAATGACGCATAAATTGAGGAAAGTCTATGTGCAGAAATGTGTAATGTTATTTCTGGATATTGACGACTACTGTATGAGAGCTTTTAGCTTGTCAGAGAAAAAATCACTTTTTTATCTCTTGGCGCACACGAAAGGGAATCTCTTGATGTCCGAGGAACATTGTGCGTACTCAGGGATAATAGCGAGAGAAGGTAGGTATTGGAATGTTTTCTAACAGTCAAAATATTTCATTGTGCTCATCAGAAGATCAAATCAACCATAGAGATCGAGAAACAGTGAAAACGCAGTGACAATCTGAAGAAATAACTGATTTTTTGGGTGTGGTTTCTGATATTCTCAAAATTGTCAAAATATTTTTCAGAATTTAGCGGAAATGAGAGAAAAAAATCGGCGTGGAAATAGATGAAGGGAAGATGGTGACAGGAAAAAAGGTTGACAATTTAGCTCTGTTACTTTTCATAAAATTACTTTTCCCATGGAAAAAATTGTGCTGATCCACGGTGGATGGCCTGTTAGAAGTATCTGGAGAACGAGAAGACAGAACATTCTGAAAATTAGGATGCTTTGATAATTGAACATTCTCTATCCGTCTAAAATATTTTCATCGATACAGTGTTGCCACTTCTATCAGAAACAACTAGCAACTAACGAAGCTTCGTTATTTTGAATAGAGCACCCTGTATTTTATTGCATTTTTAGATTCTCCCTGAAAAGCTGATTTCATCAATGTAGCACACTTGGGGTCTAGCAGGAATGATTACATAGATATAGGGTGATCAAAATCCAGATTTTTCAATTTCAGGATTTTTTTGTGTCGAAAGTATTTATTATTGATCAAAACGGCTTACATGTCCCTATCTTAACTTTCGATTCACTATCTACTGACCTTTAATTGGAACAGACACAGGGTGATCAGAATTCTGAATCTTGAAGCACCCTGTATTTTTTCCAATCAAATTCCAGTAGATAGTCAATCAAAAGTTAAGATAGGGACATGTAAGCCGTTTTGATCGATAATGAATAGTTTCGACACAAAAAAATCCTAAAATTGAAAAATCTCGATTTTGAACACCCTATATCTCTGTAATCATTCCTCATACTCATACTCACACTCATACTCATAATTTATTGGTGCTAATACACAAAAAGCGTTTACACAAGTCAAGATTACAAATTGAAAATTTCATACAAGAAAATACTTATAGATATTCAGAAACAACAGTTGAATATAAAATACAAATTAAAACCTGGTACATCGAGTGACAATACAATACAAATTAAAATATTAAGTAAAAAATCAGTTTTGAGGATTTAGCAACATAAAAACAATTAGTTCCAAGTAAAATTGAGAAATTCTTCTTTGTCGTAGAAGGGATTCCTAAGCAATACTTCGTGTACCGTTCCCCTAAACATTTTATCAGGAAGTGCTCTCACACTTTCTGGTAATTTATTGAAAAATTTCACAGCCCAATAATTTGTTCCACTCCGACACCTTTCCAGCCTCCACAAAGGTACCGAGAGCTGCTCCCTGCCTCGAGTGCCGTGCTGATGCATTTCGCCAGCCTCCGAGTACCGGTCTAAGTTGCATTTGATGTATAAAAGGTTTTCAAATATGTACATATTTGGAAATGTTAATATTTTATTATCAATGAAAGCATCTCTGCAATCATCCTGATACCCAAGGCAGCTCAAAATCCGCACGGCTCTGCGCTGCAAGGAGAACACTCTGCATTCCTGCTAGACCCCAAGTGTGATGCATTGATGAAATCAGCTCTTCAGAAAGAATATAAATATGCAATAAAATTCAGGGTGTTCCATTTGAAATAACAAAGTTGCTAGTTGTTTCTGATAGAAGTGGCAACACTGTATCGATGAAAATATTTTAGACGGATAGAGAATGTTCAATTATCGAAGAAACCCAATTTTCAGGATGTTCTGTCTTTTCGTTCTCCAGATACTTCTAATAGGCCATCCACCGTGGATCACCCTGTATGAAAGGAATGCATACTGGTAATATGTTGATTGAATGTAACACCAAAATAGTGGAGAAGTAGAGCAAGAAATAATTGAAAAATTGTCTACGAAATACGAAAATGTTTCGTTGGTAGGCAAAATTTGAAAGTATATGATAACATATCACAATGTAAAAAATGTTATGGATTCATCCTAAAATTAATTAAAATTTGAAAATTAATAGGTGTGTCTTCGTTGTTCTGGTTCACACGAAAGTTACATCTGATCAGCCAGATTCGAACCATCAATACTTCTAGAAGCATTAACGGCTATCTAGCGACTTTATCTCATCCCCCAGTATGCTATGAACAATGAATAAAGCAATGCACGTTTTTTAGAAGCTCAGATGAGTGATATCAATATTTTTAGCATTTATCTCTTAGAGCACATGAAAGATAATCCCTATAATGTTCGAAGAACATGGTGTGTACATAGACAGGATAGAAGGAAAAGGAAGGTATTGTTATTTTTCACTGTTGGGGATTATAAGTTCTTGGGAATAGTGAAAGGTCGCCGACTTTTCTATGATAAATAATTAGTGAGTGTGGCCCAGGCGAATAATATTTGGAATAATTCAATTTCTTGATGGCAAACTTCAATGAGTTTTACCTCAAAAACTGTATATTATGTTGATCTGAAATCAATGATTTCAATAATTTTCTTTCAACTGATCCGAGAGGTCGAAAACTACAAGCAGTAAATTTGAAGGTGTACAAATTTTACATAGTTTGTTTATGTAAAAAGCAGCTAAGCAGAAAGGGCAAAATGTACTACTAATATCAGAGAACAAAAGAAGGTTTGTTTGAATTGCTCCATACCATATCCTCGGTTCATATTTTGTTAACTCAGGAAAATATTAACGAATATTCTTATCGTCGATGATTCGTGCCAATACTGTCATTACAAGGCTATTTTCAAACATGATTATCAAATAATATTATTTCCATATAATCTTGTTTCCAGCAGTATATTTACCAACTAATTTTTAATAAAGATAGATTTACGTACCTTCAAACTGAGGATAGTATCATCCAACATCTCCATCTGTGCATATGTCAGAATTGGATAAGCCATATCACCAGATCCGTGTACGCTGGGGGGACTAGGTTTCCTATTACTACTGAACATATTTTGTGATAATTCCATAGCTGAAGCCACTTTTTGAATAGGAAATCGTGGATATTTTGACATTTCTAGAACCAACTCTTTGACTTTGGGTTCACTACCAAAAAGAGCTAATGCATAGAAGGCATGGATAGTTCTGAAATCAGAAATATTTTCATACAGACCAATCGAAGTACCTATACAATTAAAAAACTGCTCTCAAAAATAATGAGATGAAAATATTGTTCAACGGTTTAGAAAGAAAGTAGAGCTTGTAATTCTGGTTGACGAATTGTATATTAGGAAGTGGTATCTAAGTGAACTTCACTGCTAGTGACTCAATCATTTCATAGAATTATATGTCGGCAAGAAATTGTTATGGTATTTTGAAAGATATTTAGATATATACAGATTGCTGAAATGCAACGATGAATATTAAATTTCGAAGAATGGAGTTCCATACGAATTCTTATACACCACCTCGGCTAAACAAACATTGTAAAAATAACACCAACAGCAAGGTTAACTGATCTCAGACCTTGCTGTGCTTAGTTAACAAATACCTTTTTCAACCAGTGAACTGGTCTAACTGTTCTTGATACTTGATATACTATAACTGTTAAACAGTGACAATGGTATGGTATGGTGGCTTTGTTTTGTTTTGTTTTTTTTTTCATTTTTTAGGTTAAATATGCTTCAAGACTGTGTACCCAAAGGTAAAACGGCATTTTTATTTTTATTGATGTTGAACTTGTCTACTTATTAAGTTTGAGTTCCATCACCAGCATTATTGCTGATATGGAAAAAAAATACTATTAATTGTTATAGTCTGAAAAGGTTCACTTGTTTAAATCAAGTATTTTTCTGAAAAAAAAACTATTCATAAATATTCATATGCCTACAGATAACCATATGGAATGCCAATGAATATTTGCCAATTTCATTTTCATTTGTTCAAGATTTTCTTACTACAGTTGTCAACACCCTAAGTGCACCACTCATAATTTGGTTCTTTTTCGACGACCTGTATGTTTTGAAAAAATGAACCGAGTTTCATGCGGTTTTCGATATCGGATGTGATATTTCATCGACTTCATAGAGAGCTAGAACATTCTGGACAAGTCCGCTGATCGAAACTTACACAGGGTGTAAAGTGGAACCATTACACTATATTTCCAATGCTGCCGGATCGCGATAAATTCTTTTCTGATCAAAAATCAGTCATATTATGATACACTGGGACTTCATCTCGGGACGTTTCCGTGATTTCTCCTTAATTCGCCATTGGAACAAAAAATATGTCTTTTTCTAGAACTCTACTCGAAGTGAATATTGGGACTTGTTTTCTGAAGGACAATGAAAGAAGAAAAAAGCACCATTGTAGAATATAGAGGGTGAAAAGAAAATAGGCAAAAATCTCGAAAAATCAGAAACAGTGACTGAAGTATGACCCATTCGATTTAGTATAATCAGAAACGGCCTTCTCGATATCCATTATTGAAATACGGGATGAGGTTTTTCATATGTTATGTTCATGAATCATGATCGATAATTCTGAATCCAAAGGTTAGATCTTCGGGATTGATTGCTTCCCTAGAGACACAAGGTGATCATTGAGGACCAATAATGGCTTCGTTATCATATACGGAGGTCACCCATATTCTTTCATTGAATGCATAGAAATTATACTATACAGTGTGGAGACTTTAACTGGAATACATTCGTTAGCGGAGGTGAATATTTTTTCTAAAAATTCCCGACATACGTCAACGATTTAACGTATTTAGCTACCTTTTGCAAGCAATACCGAGTATATATTCCTGCAGGGGTAGCTGAAACCACCCTCAACATGTTTTTTTCAAATGTAACCCTATGACTTGTTAATCCTCATTGGAAAGCTGGTGGAAAGAGGAATCCAGCGTACTAGTTAAATTTTAGTTTAAATTTGAATTTTTTTGTCAACGTATCAATTGCTTAAAATGTGTGTTGAACAATTGATGGCAATTTTTTGCCACTACTGCTAACTGCTATTGAATTCCAGTGTTTTTATAAAGCCGCAAAAAGAAATTTAGTTTTTTTGACGTATTCGCAGTTTAAAACGGAGTGTTATTGCAAACTGGTGGAAATCACTGTCACTTAAAGTCGAAATTTTGATGAAAATACATTAAACTAAAATATATTAAACTTCGAAATTATATTTTGATTTTTTGCGACCCCAAACGTACCACAAACTGAAATATGATCAGTACCCTTTCAACCAGCTTGAGCTTGAGGGGGTCGCAAGCCCTAGGGTTGCATTTTTAAAAACATGTTGGGGTTATTCCAGCTACCCCTGATGGGTAATATTCTCCATATTGCTCGCCAATAGGTAGGTCAATACATTTAAACGTTGACGTGTCTCGCGAATATTCCGAAAAATCATTCACTCCTCCAGTGGCGAATTTATTCCAGTTAAGTCTCCATCCTGTATATACTGACACTAGATGCCCATCAAGTTTCACAGCCTAAGCGTGTCGCATATGCAACTTGTTTTATGATATGCGCATGCTGTTTTTGGTTCCTTGGACTAAAACGTTGCCGGCTTTTCAAGAGTTATTGATAAAACTATTTTAATGGAAATCGGACTAGATATTTCGCATGTCTTTTACAGAATTGTGAACGTACATGAATACTGTGCCACTATTTTGTATTTTGACTGTTCACAATTTGAATACGATGAAAAAGTTAATTGATTACTATCAGGTAAGTTCGGCAACCTTGACACTTATTCCTGATCGAAATGTAATGGTCCAGTTGGTTGGAGCAGACCAATTTTTGAATCATTGTTCATGTTAGTTCCAAAATGTTGTTCAAATTTTCCTAATTCAGTTCCTAACCTATAAGATATTCATTGTATTGCTGATGAAGAAGTCGCATACACAGCCGAATATTCTGACATGTATTGTATCCATCAAATCCACAGCTTCAATAACAGAGTAGGTACAATGATTTTTCTCAAGCCAGCACTGTTCAAAATAATCCTAATTCTGCACATGCGCATTGAAGATCGGCCCATACATTTCACCACACTTTAAATCTATTGCATGAGTATTCTAGTGTCAGTATATATAATATGATTTCTATAGGCCTGTTCGTTTGTATTGCTGGCTAAAGTTGATCTTTTTTCCATAGTTTTCTCTGTTCATGCCATGATGTGAACAAAGAAAGTCATAGAAAAAAATTAAGTTCATCAGGTTGAGCAAGCACAAACGAACAGGCCTTATGATTGATTGCCGTGAATAGTGTGTATACTAATTACAAGAACACGTACATGAGAGCGATCATCAAAAAATAATGAACATCTTGCGAGCCATGATATGTTCAGTTAGTATAGTTCTTTATGAGAATTCTTTAATCTTATGACTAATTATTGTAACTAACGATCATAAGATGAAGCCTTCAACAAGAAACGAGTTTCTGAATGCTATTCGATTGATAAATGGAGAAATCAGTTTCAGAACAGTTGGGAGGAAATGGGTCCCATAACATTTTGAGGAGAAATCTTCAGAGGTACAATGAACCCGGAAGTCCTAGTTGCTCCTTCCCGAGTAACGCCTGCTCTACAAGATCGTTTCATTCGACGAAATGCAAGAAGACATCGAACCGACACTGCTACCCAGCTGAATGCGACGCAGACTACACGAATTTCAAATGCGGGCAAGGAGGATGTCCAAATGCTCCTTATTAACTGATCAGCATCGTAGCGCATGTTTGCGATGAGCACGAGAGCACGAAGATTGGGGTCAAGATCAGTGGAGGCACTACCTTTTCGCAGATGAATCAAAATTCAATTTGTTTCGGAAGGATGAGAGGATTCCTGTTTGCAGACGACCAGGTGAAAGATTTGAAGAGGAAAATATGGACCAAAACTGTTTATTTTGGTGGAGGAGGAATCACAATTATGATGGTATCCAGTTAAATGGAAAATTAGATCTCGCGATATGAGATAGACTGTGACTCAGCGGTATGTTGACAGATGTCAAATGGATGTGATAATACCATACGCCCAGAATTATGGTCCAGAATTCATCTACGTAGATGACAATGATCGGCCACATAGAGCAAGAATAACAATGGAAACTCTTAGCATTATCTCCAGATCTGAATCCGATTGAACATGTGTGGAGCCGAATGAAACTTAATTCATCGAGAAGGCGAGAGGCACCTCAAAATAATGCCAACCTAATCCAAGCTGTATCATAAGAATGGGAGGCGATACCAATAGACTTCATAAACAACCTCATAGTATCTATGTCAAGCCAATGTCATGAGGTTTTGATAAATCAGGGAGGTCCTACTAAGTACTCAAATTTTAATAGGACTTGTTAACCTAAGGTCTGGGTGGCTACTAGGAGCGTCGGCAGGCGGTGGACAGCCGGCCGGCCTACGGTGAGATGTAATGCGACCCGTGGTGCATGGATGCATGGCGGTGGGGGTGCACCGTCTTGAACGGAACCTTGGGGATACCTGGCCACCTCTCCAAGTACGAGCCCTTCCCCTGGGAGGGGCTCTGCAGGGGGCGAAGTCAATTCCCCATCACTCGTGGGATCAAAAAAATATATAAATAAAACACAAAACCAGGGGGGGCTGAAGTTATACCCTGGACCCCAGACGAGGGAACAAACTCGGGACCCTCGAGGACCCTCAAACCCATCCCGACCCTCATCTGGAACCACACAGGGGTGAGATACCTCTTCGGTGCTCTCATATTCCACCCCTCCTGAGGTCACCCCGTTGACCTCGGAAAACACCCCAACGATGGGGGATTCCTCCTCCTTCCCTACAAACCCTCTCCCTACTCCCACAGTCCCTAGATGAAGTCCCAGTATGGAAATGTAGACCATACTGTAATGGTACCACCACTGTACACCATGTGCACGTTTCGTTCTGCAGACTTTGGCAGAGTGTTCTAGCTATCTTTGAAATCGGTAATTTTTTTCAAAAAATACTGGTTCTCGGAAAGGAGTCAAATTATGAGTGGTCCATTTAGGGTGTTGAGAACAGTATTTTAGTTATGGATCGAGAATTCAAAAGTTCATCACAATAAAAATGTATTCGAATTGGGTTGAATTGAAATAAAGAATGAGAATTTATAACAAAACGAAAATATTAATTGATCATAGGAGGGTTCTGGTTTGAACCGAGAAAATAATGTATACATAATGTATCATGAATTTCAATGCTACTCATAGCAAAATAGCAATAGCTCAAATGCAGTAAAAAAAATTCTATCATGGAAGCCACTTCTGAATGTTTGAAAGAAGAGGAAGAAGATTTGGAGGCGGCGGAAGTTAGTAGTAAGTTGAAAGAGAAACATATTTTTGCAACAAACATATACTCACCTATTTTCCATTAAAGTACTAAGTAACTCCAACCACCTAGCATCATGCTGTGATAGCTCATTTACCAACCCAACAGCATATACATAGGCATTCACGTAATCTGTTGAAGTTGTATTATTTTCGTTCACCTTCAATTTTGGTAAGTTAGCCATACTTAGCTCATCCGATAAGACAGGAGAAAACACTTTCATTATCACAGTCTCATTAATAGACTGCAATACATCTTTACAAATGAAAGTTGATTTCAACATGGTTCTTAGTAACTGTAATAGAGATCCTAGTCGTTTGCAACCTTCTATATTGTTTGGCGAAGAATCAGACTGAAGTAAGGATAAAAACACTGGCAATTTCGCAGATAACAACTTCAAAACTTTCTTCTTGTCATCCCCCATGGAAGCATTTTCTGTTATAATTGTCAATAACATGAGAGCTTGAAATGAAACTCTGTCAGATTGCAACCAGTCAAGTGCAAGTTTGATTATTCTTGGATATAAACTGGATAAATCCGCAAGTTTGTTGATTTCCATTGTATATATAAATTTTAAAATGAGCATTACGCATTCTGGTTCATGTAAAGCCACTGGAGTCGTATTTGAGTCTGGAGCAGTATTCCTCACTTCTATCAGCTAGAAAAGATAATGAGACAAACACATCAGCAGGGTCCAAACTAGCAATGTATTTTTTTGTAAATGCTGTTAGTTTTGACGGTTGTGACCAATAAGCATAACCAAAAATGAAATGTTAACCAGAGTAGACAGACCACTTTGACGGCTTTCTAAAACCCTGCCAGGTGGCGTACGCTTGTTTTCTATCGCGAAAGAGATAAACAAAAATTGATTTGTATTTTATTTGACGTTTTAACATTTAGACTTTAGACACGTTTCTCGGGTTGTAGATGTTGCCGTGATAACTTTAAAACACACGAGTTTTTGGAAGTTGGATACGCTGAGGCGTACTTCAAATTAGCAAAATTTAGTACCAATGAAGAAATAGCTATGATAAAAGTGTTCTGGTATGTGCATAAATAACAGAGTTCTTCAAAAAGTGCTAGTTGGAATATTTCTAACAAAAATATTGATAAATATCAAGGCCTAGATCAATAAAAATTACACCCTAAAAACAGAGTTTCATATATTGAATTCTACTTCTAGTTAATGCTATTTTAGAACCATTGATAATGGAAAAGAAATTATTAATTGGACAGAATTCTGAAATTAGCATGAGCGATAGAGGTATCAAAAATACACTCAGTGACGAACTGGAGTCATCTCAAGTAACAAACACTGCTCGCCAGCAGCCATTAGGAAGTAAGGTAACTACCGATACAAAATTTTCCTAGGCAATTTTCAGTTCTGAAATGTTTAAGTATTTCTCACATGTCAGAAAGTTTTCCCGTATCTTTCGTAACTTAAGAGTTAAGTTCCCGAGAATCACAAGAGAAAAGTTATACCAAACATAACGAATAAGTTTTTTGGAATTTGCAAGAAGATATTCCACACCTCACTAGCTACCTCGAAGATGCTAGTTCCCTTCTATGAAAAGTGAGTCAAAGCTGAATCTTCACAGGGCTGTTTTTTTTTTTCAGGTTGTATAGTATGTGAGTTATAATTTCTAATATCACTAGTGACGTGCAGTGCATATCACTAAAGATGACCGCGCTTGGCAATGAATGTATTTCGCACCTGAACGAATTCCAGAATTCCAGCTCATCAATAAGATATGCAGGTGCTTCCATAAGAAGTGAGACACACTGCAGGTATATTTGATTCAAATGCATAATAGAGTATCGTCACATATGATAAATATAAATTACAAACGCCTGAAATAGGAAATGAAGAAGTGTGCTTGAATGGAGGACGCCACCTTAGATGCAGCACTGTTAATTGGAACGCAACAGAGAATCGTGCGGAATCATCTCCGGCCGATGCTACGAAAATAAGAATTTATAATTCGTTTTATAAATAAAAATTCTCTGCTCTGCCAGGGATTCGAACCTGGTAAACTTTCCCCATGCAATTTTATTATGGAAAAAAAACTGAGTTGCAAAGCAGAAACTCTCGCAATAACGAGAATGACCCAACTGCAATGCAATGGAATTAAGCAGGAATTGACTAAAATATTATGATTCTCGATATAAAGTTTTTGATAATTTTGAGGTAGGTACAGTACAAAATAACATAAATTAATTGGAACTGCTCCTACTGACTTTGAAAAGATTTCACGCCTGTAAAGATGTTCTTGATATTATTTTTTACCCGATCGATCATTCAACTCCAGAGAAGTAATTTCGTTGGCATTCTTGAGGACAAAATACTCGACAAGAGATGATTACATGAGGCGAGATTTTATACATTTTCTTACTCTGTTGTAGTTATAATTATAAGTCATTAATAATGGTCATAGACTGTAGTTCTATAGAGCTTTTGATAGAATTTATTTATCAAAATTCAATTTCAAAGATATAAAAACGCTTATAGAAACAGTTCATGGATTGAAAAAAAATTACAATTTTATCAACAGAATCCAGCTATACACATTAAAGACCTACCTAGCTAGAAGCTTATATCCCAAATTCTTTGCTAAATACAAAATCGAAATCGTGTGGGCATAAAATGTATTCTCAAGGACATACGAACATACTTTTTATGTATCAATCTCCACTGGCCTTATGTTCCATCTCTCTATGATAGTAAATTTAATATTAGAAAATGGATACACTTTTGATTCTTATAATTTCCTTTGCACCCTGATACAAACACAATTCTTATATTTCCTTGGCACTCTGATACAAAACACATAGAGTAAGGATCAAAAGTCCGTTGCCTCCCACGTAACTTCCTCATTTTACACAATACAAAATTTATTAAAATCTTTCAAAAAGTTAGGGTAGGAGTCAAATACATTATGTTTCATTTTTTACGGTTTTTCCTCTTCCAAATTATTATTTTTTGTGATATAAAACCATTCATTATCAAACTTGTTCAAAATTTAAAATGCAATGATACATAGGGTGTCTTATTTAAAAAAATGAACTTTTAAGTTGGTGTGTTTTTTTGAGGCACTATGTACAAAGTTATCTTGAACAATCAAAGATAATAAATGCAACCCACAACTTACCTATCCAACATTTTTTGTGATATGTAAAATAAAGAATTGACTGGGGCTGTGGACTTTTGTTCCTCACTGTATAATAAGTTATTGTTATTTAGCCTATCACAACACAACATTAGCACAAAACAGTATTTATTTTGATGAAACAACTAGTGAATGTCCTCGTTGTATTGTTGGTAACGACCAACTACCGGGATATTTAAGCAGGGATTTTCAATTTTATGGTGAAATGAGTCTGAACAGCTAGATTTCACAGATGGTTCACGGATGATTAATGAACCAACCATCAAGAGAGGTGAGGTTTACTAACTGGTCTCAGGCAATATTGGATCCCTCATGTGCTCAGTCTCCAAACATTGTCGTCAAACAGTAAAACGTTCGCTCTATTCTTGATACGTATACCAACACTTTCAACATAAAAAATCTCTTTCAACAAATGACAAATTTTCAATAAGGACTATAGATATTGTTGCGTTTGGAACCTTCTGCTATAAGCCACTTTTTCTGTGAAAAATAATTCTTGATTATATTATGTGCTCTTACATAAAAAAGTATTATTGTTATGTTGTTTTTGTTGCTATTTACCTGTATGAGTCCTGCTACTTGTTCATTGTAATGTGAATATTGCTTCAGAATTTCAACACTCTCACTGTTGACCACGTCAACGAAAAAATAGATGACCAGACCAAGCATCACAGGGTCGTTTCTCGTAAGAGATTCAAGTGCAGAAATGAAGGTTGGATGGATGAGATTCAACAAAGTCTTATTTGTTACTTCGTTATGGGATCGATCCAAAATTATCATTAGCTTACAAACTTGTACTTCTATCAACGGCCCCTGTAAAAAGTGAATGTACGTGTCAAATTTGAAAACTATTCTTCAGAAATGAGTTTTGATAGCAAAGATAATACAATAATAACGTTGTTTCTACTAGCAGTCTTATTTTTATAAATATTGGTTGAAAGAAATAGAATGAATTGTCTTAGTCATAAATCTAGGAAGGAAGAACTTACTTCTCACTTACTAACATTTGAGGGTGAATTGAATCCAGAGATTTGAATGGAAGTATTTTTAGTAATACATGTTCATTTATGAGCAGATTTTATACTGATCATAACACACAGGAGTTCTGATAGGTTTCAGGTTCCCTATCATCTTTCTAGCATAGGTTCTAGCTATGGTATGCAATCTCCTATTGATCATACCCTCAGAATGTTTATTGAGACAAACATAGAGATAATAGGTATAACTCTTTCTAATATCGAAAGTGATCTGTTGAGAACATCGTGAGGCTTCATAATTATATATGAATAATTATGCAATCAGTATAATCATTATAGGTTTCATTTTATTCAACTGTTTCGATAGTCAATCAATGTTCATGTGTATATTGTGTACTATGAATATTAATTTAGTAAGCTTTTCAAGTAACTACATTGCTGAAACATATGATTTGAATCTATCATGACCCTTTGAAGGAAAAAAGAGAAAATAAAAAATAAAAGTAATACTCATCACTCACCTTCAATGGCAAACAAAATCGTAAGAACTTTTTGATATCCACAATTGTTGATAAAGTATAAATTGCTGGCAGATTTTTATAACACAGATTAACTAAAACACACAAAGATGAGCATACAATGTCTTGATCTTTATCTTCTATCCATCTTGTCAGTGTTTTCAATAAATGAGGTAAATGTGGAATCTGCCATGATAATTTGATACCACATGTTAAATCCTGAAAATATAAAACATTGAAACCAATCAATAATTCATTCAAGAATAGCCCAGCAGTCAGCAATGGGTTAGGTAACATCTCAGAGCATAAGGCCAGAACTTTCACAATTCCTTATAACCTAGGAACAAGCGAATAAGGTGTCTGGTAACCTGTCGGAAGTGGCTTTGGAAGGTGAAGAAAAAATTGAAATTACAATGACAGCATAGCATATTTTAAGCAATTATCAAATGAACTAATCAGGAGCTCCAGTCAAGTTATCAGGGGTAATAACTATGAATACAATCGCAATATTAGTGATAGTAATTCTGGAGATCCAATTGCTTGCAGTAAATGAGAAAATGGATATGTTCATTGAGAATGAAAACATGATTCTATTACCTGATCACATTGAGATTAAATGAGAAAATAAAAGAGCTGGTTATCAAGTTTTCACCAACTAAAGAAAAATAGAAATTCTGATATAACTATAGAATATCCAATATCAATTGCAGAATATCCTGCACTGTGCGGCATCGGCGTGTTTGAAGATTCTTTTGAAGTGACTGCAGATGCGGCACATGATTCTGCAACTGTTTTTGGATAAACTATACTAGCATTCATCATTACCCTAATCCGAAAAAAAAGGACCACTTTTTGTAAGATTAGGCAAAATGAAACAAGAGTTGAAAACATAATACAACAGTCTCAACAATGACATTACAAAATTGGTCAATGAATACAAGATAAATGAATTCACGACCTGTCTCACCGATATATACTTTAGTACAAGATCCACTGTTGAGTTTGTATACCCCAAGGTTACCAACGTAGGTGATCCATAACTTACAGTGGAGGTGATAGAAATCGGGAGGGGTGAAAAAATGTACAGTCACAACTCCACCACATAAAAATTTTCAATAATGACCAACGGTCATGGACATAAGTAAGGACATGTTTCGAAGGAATAATCCTTCATCATCAGCAAATGTGTTAAAAAGAAAATCTGTAAGAAGAAACAATGCTTATGTTAGCTATAAGTATTGATTAAGGAATTTAAATGTATCTACCATTATTGGTGGAAAAAGTTCACTTAATACAAAACATGGAAAAAAATTAATTTTGTTTATAAACCGCGCATAGTACGGGTGAGTTAATGTTCGAAACATGTCCTTACTTATGTCCATGACCGTTGGTCATTATTGAAAATGTTTATGTGGTGGAGTTGTGACTGTAAGTTCTTTCACCCCTCCTGACCCCAAGGTTAGTTTAGTTCATTGTACCAGTATTTCACCTGATGAAGCTACTTTGTTAGCGAAACATGTCGTGTGATTGAGAATTTTGTGGAAATCATATCATTTGTCAAGTTTATACATTTGCCATGGATTTCCATCAAGTAACGGCCGAGTCAATTAGAAAAAAAAGAATTTATAGTGTACTTTCAGAAAATTTTAACATATCACAGGGTGTGCCTCAAGCCAGGCCCCAAGGTTCCTTGATGGCTTCGTTATTATTCATCATTTCATCAACAGCTCAAAATATTTGATGAAAGATTATTTTTCGAAACTATTTTCAATATTGTCGTTTTTTATGCTACTATTATGCCACTATTATTCGAATTACATGCAGTTAAACTATTGGGTAAACCATCCGAATATACACCGAAAATCACGAACTTATCCAGGACCTACGACATCTGGTTATCCCATCGTCAAAACACCGCTTTACGTTGAAACGTTCGCGTAGTTCATTATATACTACTGCAGTCGGCTGGCCGATCGGTGGTTTCTTGTCTCTCGACGTATCGCCCGGTTCAAGTTGACATTTTCGCGTATGCACGTCATAAACTGGTACGGCCTAGAGTCACTGAATGTTATTAGTTTGATAAGAGTTCGGACACAGAAATGACAACGGTTAGGGTTTTTGAATGTTTAGATTTATAAAGTTACACACCTTGCATTGTGACAAGAGCACCATGGTCGTCCCGCGCTTTTTCATTCAAAATTGTTTGAATTTGACAATTAATTTTATAAACGTCAGAATTGAAATAAAATTTCATAATTATTATACTTTCGAGATAAGAGCAACTTTGGAAATGACTTGCTGTGTAATAAATTGTGCCAATTTTGAAACAAATGGATATCATTTTCGATTTTTCAAATCAAATATCAAGCGTTCTCTTATGGAAGGAAGATATGAAACGGCCTGGGCGGAAAATCAATTTGAAGACGAGCGAAATTTGTGAGGTACTCATTGAAATTCACTTCTTATATAACAGCATCTGATTAGAATGAATCTATATTTTAGGGCCATTTTCAAACAGAAGATTTCAAAATCTGTTCGAGAGAATCTGCTGCTCCATCAATTTACAAAGCAGACGATTTCAAGAACAAAATTCCATTATTATCATCACACAAAATACAAAACAAAATAATCATGGAAAAAGGGGAAATGATCGCAAAATTACATTATGAAATTGAAAATTTGAAAACGAAACTAAGAAAAGCAAGTAAACTACAACGTGATATATTATTGAATGGCGTTTTTGGTGCTGACCGAATTCAAAATTCAACAGTGTAAAGTGAATACATATTTATGTATCAAGGGAATTATTATAAGGGCCTTAATTACGCTGGAGGTCATCGTTTTGGAGATATTTTCTATATCGATCCATGTTACTTAGCTCCTAGGGCGCTAAGTGAAGTTGCTGAGAACTTTACAAAACCAAGTATTTGGTAGGTCTCGTCAAAATAAATAACTTTCTTCCTATGAAATCTTTATCGAGAGATAATTTGTTTTCTGTATTTCAACACCCTAGCTGTATCTCCGAAATGAAGCATTTCCAGACACAAGCTTGTATAGACTTTATTTCTCAAAATTGTCTCAGGAATACATCAATGGAGTACAGTTTCACATACAATGAGGAATTATAGCTATAAGTTTATCCATATGTATATATTTTCTGATATTAAAATGTTGTTACATGCATTTTTTTTATTTATATAATAGTTGCTCTGCTAGAAGTGTATCACTATGAATTGAAGTGGGTGTTTGTACCCTATATCCATTGTCCATCTACGGCTATGATTGATTTGACAGAAAATATAGCCTCTAAAATCGTATGTGACAATCAGGTGCTACTAGGGAAATTGAAAAGACGAAGAGCAGAATATATGTCTTATTCTTTTATTCACTTAAACCAGAGATTAGCCACCCACAGAACAAGATGCGCACTTCCCTGTTAAAAATTGGAAAGATTTTTCAAGAAGGTTTTGGAAACGAAATGTAGATGGCGCGTCCATCTATGTTTCCACCTGAACTAGTTTTTCAAAATTCAAAATAACCTGAAATCTCTAAATCATAGCAAAAGAAAATTTCTCTCAATTCTATTTATTTCAGTAGTGCGGATCGATAAAATAAACTCCACCCACTTCAAATAAAACGAATATATTTCCCAAGGTTGGTAGAAATGATGATTATTTCTACCAACCTTGTATACTTCCGGATGTTGTTGACATCTATTAGATTCAGTTGGAACTATAATTCGTCACGTGACCATCTTTCCAAAGTGCCTATTAGATGTGCACATCTTGTTCTGTGGGTGGCTAATCTCTGACTTAAACCATTGTATTATAGAAAATAGAAAAGGACAAAAGTTCAGCTGTGTCCGAACTCTTATCAAACTAATACCATCCAGTGACTCTAGTACGGCCGAGTTTGGCTGGCCGAACGTACCGGCCGCATAGTGTGTTGTGCTTTGTATAACGACCTAACTTATGCACGGATTGCCATTCAATTTTCGTTTTACCAATTTACAATTATTATTTCTATATTGGTATTTTCATGTAATGTACAAACCAAATGGAAAAATAAATTTCTAATAGGTATATGAAAATTGAATGAATAATTGATGCTTTTTGAATTTGCAATTCTTCAGGAATACCTGATTCAACATTCATCAAATATTAAAATCAGCCCATCAGTACTGATTTACCTTCAGCGTTTCATAGCGGCAATAATGGCGAGTGGATTTTTTTTACCCACGGCCACTATAGGAAGTAGGTAAGAACACACGAGATACAGCCTCAGTAGTAGCTCATTACGCACAGTAAACACATCGCACAGTTTTCGTATATTCCGCTATAGGTATGTCATGACCGCGTAGTTGCCGTCAACAGCGGATGACATTACTGTCGAGAATTACAATCCAGACTGTCCAAACTTTCTTGATGTACTATATTGCAGTAGGTGAAGTATAGTACGAAATGCGTGTTGTAAAACAATTACGCACTCGCCGCTCCGCGATGATGTACTGATTCACCTTCAGCGCTTCATAGCGGCAATAATGGCAAGTGGACTAATTTTTTTTAACTACGGCCACTATAGGAAGTAGGCAAGAACACACGAGATACAGCCTCAACAGTAGCTCATTACGCACAGTGAGCACATCGCACAGTTTTCGTATATTCCGCTATAGGTATGTCATAATCGCGTAATCGCCGTCAACAGCAGATGACATTACTGTCAAGAATTATAATTCAGACTGACCAAACTTTTTTGATGTACAGGGTGGGCAAAATTGGGCGTTTTCGCCGTCTATCTCAATAACTAGAGGAGTTATCGAAAAACCGATATACATGTTCCGGGTTCGATTTTGGAGAAACCTCGAATGGCACAATCAAAATTTCGATATCTTCATTCATTTTAGAGATACAGGGAGAAATTGAAAATTTGCCGATTTCGATTTTATTTTCTGACTACTTTACGGTGAGAGGTATCAAAAAATTTCAAACGTATATTTATACAGTATGATGCGTGGAATCCATTGGCATCATCAGAAATTTTGTACAGGGTGACGTTGAAAAGATACGGCAGCCAATTATGTTTTTTCTAATGGAACACCCCGTATATTTTGGCATAGTTGAATAGTCCCAGGCGTTCTCATTACAAATATATATATAACCCTACCTTTTTCTTCCACAATTTCAGATATATTCGCAAAAATATATTCAGTGTGTCACATT